TGGTGACTGTCGAGGGCCTGGTGGCACTGTTGGCACTCACTGATCATTGGAGTGTCGGGGCCAGGTGGCACTGTTGGCACTCACTGATCATGGTGAGTGTCGAGGGCCAGTGGCACTGTTGGCACTGTTGGCACTGTTGGCACTCATCAGGGCCATGTATGCCAGAGGACTATTAACGTCACAGTTGACATATTTCTTCCATGTACTTTAAGGTTACTGACTGTTAACACTGTAGGTGATCCTCGGTCACGTCTCTCCTACAGGTGGTGGTGAGGGCCCTGGAGGAGGCGGGGAGCAAGGCGGAGGTGCTGGCGGTCGTATCGCAGATGACCTCTCTGGGTGTGGACGGCGGCCACATCTGTCGCCTCATAGCGCGTCTCGGGGGCGTGAGGAGCCTGCTGGGGGTGTGCCTGGAGCCTCGGTTGCGTCAGTGTCGCGTCGATACCCTGAGGGCGCTGGCCACCGTCTGCTGCGTCGTGGAGGGCATCGCCGAGCTGGAGAAGGTGAGAGAGGATGGACAGATGTGTTTATTATTAACTGTTGACGTATTGTGAGTCACACGACACATAGTGGGATTCGAGCCAAGATTCTCTAGATCAGAATCGAGTACATCTAACCGCTGAGCCATTCCTCCTGTTGAAGTAACCAGAGGGACCAACACACCACGTTACCAACACCGGGTCTTCACTGACTCAAGGTCAGGGACCCGCCTACACGCCCTCCATATTATATGACCCAGTGACCCTGACCTCTCACCTTCCATCACGCCCAAGGCCTGGTCCAGCGCCAGCTTGTTGACATCAATGAGCCACAGGTGTGTGGTGCTGACACCAGGGGCCACCTGTAACATGATTATTACACACCTGCGCGACACCTGTGTTTTACCTGTTGTCTTTCTTTATCTTTTGAGCTGTGTGTGTGTGTGTGTGTGTGTGTTACAAAAGCTCTATGTGTCACAGTCTGGAGCTGTGGAGGTGATGGTGTAGGTTTGGAAGCGGCGGTGGAGGTGTGGAGGTGTGAGGTAGTAACATAACCATCATGTCTCACCAGGCTGGAGGTGTGGAGGTGTGAGGTAGTAACATAACCATCATGTCTCACCAGGCTGGAGGTGTGGAGGTGTGAGGTAGTAACATAACCATCATGTCTCACCAGGCTGGAGGTGTGGAGGTGTGAGGTAGTAACATAACCATCATGTCTCACCAGGCTGGAGGTGTGGAGGTGTGAGGTAGTAACATAACCATCATGTCTCACCAGGCTGGAGGTGTGGAGGTGTGAGGTAGTAACATAACCATCATGTCTCACCAGGCTGGAGGTGTGGAGGTGTGAGGTAGTAACATAACCATCATGGTCACCAGGCTGGAGGTGTGGAGGTGTGAGGTAGTAACATAACCATCATGTCTCACCAGGCTGGAGGTGTGGAGGTGTGAGGTAGTAACATAACCATCATGTCTCACCAGGCTGGAGGTGTGGAGGTGTGAGGTAGTAACATAACCATCATGTCTCACCAGGCTGGAGGTGTGGAGGTCGTGGCGGAAGTGTTGTGTGACGAGGACTGCCTGGAGGAGGAGCGGAGTGAGGCGGCCGGGGTGCTGGCGCAGATCACCTCCCCCTGGGTGGAGAACACCCACCGTCTGGCGGCTCTCCACGCCCACATGCGCCCCATCGTGGCCGCCCTCACAGGTAACACAACGCCCACTCACCTGTACCTGAAGAAACTCACCTGTACCTGAACTGTTTAATCAACAAGAACACAGGTTTACGGTCTAATTAATCCCCTTTTCGTCGACCCTTGCAGATCTGGCGGAGTTTACACGGGTGCCTGAGGTATTCCTGCTGGCGTCGGCGGCACTGGCGAACTTGACCTTCCTGGACGGCGGGTGTGTGAGTGCCATGAGGGCCGCTGGCACCACCCGCGTCCTCCTGAAGGACGCCCGCGACAACCCCAACCTTTCTATCTTCACTAAGGACCAGGTGAGACCTTTATTAAGTGAATCAAGAAAAATTTATTTATCATTAAAGTTACATATAAGTTTCATGTATTATTTTTGTTGTTGCTGTCACAGATCGCGACGGTGTTGGCCAACCTGGCGGGGTCTCAGGAGGCAGCAGAAGAAGTCGTTGCGGGCGGAGGCGTGGGCGTCCTACTGGCGCTGCTCAACACCCGCCCGGCGCCCACCCACCGCCTCCCAGAAGTGGCCACGGCAGAGCGGGTCCAACAGAAGTCCGCCATCGCCATCTCCAGGTGAGTCACTTACCTGCGTCTTGTTGATTATTTGTTTGTCGGAGACAAGGTTGTGTTCCTTCATTAGTCTTCACTATTAGAGAAAATCCAACATGCTTAATATTCATCTTGTAGAATCTTTACAAGTCCCTAACACAAAACAACGTGATGGTCTACCAGTAACTCTTGTGTAGCAGCAGTAAGATAACTGGTGGTTCCTCCTCCGTCAGGTTGTGTCGTGAGTCGAGTGTGGCGCGGCAGGTGGTGGAGCTGGGCGGGGCGGAGCGTCTGGTGAGGCTGTGTAAAGACGAACAAGAACGTAACCACAGCGACGCCGTCCTCGTCGCCTGCCTGGTGAGTCCTGCCTCCAACTACTCAGATTTACCCTGAAGCAACGTATTTTTTATTATAGAACCCGACTCAGAATCCTGTATGATTATAAGCACCAACTGGCGTTTAGTGTATGACAATGTCTTATAAGTAACAATTATTTCATGTGTATATGGAGACGATATATGTGAGAGCTAAAATGTTTCCTTCACTCAACAATATAATTCATGTTCATGTGTGTTGTGTGCTCCTCCAGGCGGCGCTGCGGAAGATGGCGTCGTCACTTGGTCTGGAACAGCTGAGAGGAATGGACGCCGCCGAGTTAGTGGAGCCTCGTCTGCTGGACTCCTTCCTCATCTACTCCTCCCGGCAGGAGAGTTTTGTCTAAGGGCAGGAACAGACCCTTGAATACAGTCCCACGAGCCCCGGCGAGGGTAGGAAGCCGAGGGAGAACCTTCTCCTCTCACACACAAAGTCCTCTGACATTCCTCTTATGAAGTAATCGATGAAGCTCACAGATTCACCCCTATGTATGAAACTATCACAAAGTTGTACCACGAAGGGCATTTTGATACCACGAGTCGCTAGTGTGAGGTGGACGATCCAGACGGTCGTGTGAATCAGGGCACTAGACCCCTGGGCCCTCAGTAGTGACTTACAGGACCAGAGGAGAACAGGTTAATGCTCTCGAGGCTCCGTCCTGTATCTGTCGACGGCTGAGGTGGAGTTCTCCCCCTCCCCACCCCCCACCTCTCTCTCTCTCTCTCTCTCTCTCTCTCTCTCTCTCTCTCTCTCTCGTGTTGACTCTTGTCCTCCGAAACTGTCAACACAAACACTCGCCAGGCGTCAATTCTCACCTCAAAATTTTATCCCTTACCTTAACAATGGTCGTGAGTGCTAAGTACCGTGAATAACGAACCAGTGTGACAAAAGTCCATCTCTTCACTACCTCCCAGTTAAGTGCTGAAAAAAGTGACTTACAGTGATCGGGTGTGTATTAAGTGCCTCGACTGACACTTAGTGGTGATCATGGTGTCTAACTCAAGTGTGTTGTTGTGTCGTCGAGTTCCTCTTACCTTATATGAGCTGTAAATAATGTTACTCTGGAGGTCGAATAAGAGTGACTTCATGAGGTCGAGTGTACTTTGAGTGATGTCGAGTGATGTTCTCTGTGTCGACGTGTATTACTAAGTGGACTTCAGTGTGCTAGGTGATGTTGTTCCTTCTGTCGAGATACACTTGGTCAACACAGGTCAAGGTGATGCTCCAAGTGACTCTGAACGATAACACTTGACGCTAACGAGAGAAAACTGACTAAAAATAAAAATCCCTGACCAATATTAATATCTGTTCCGCACCACATTAAAACTGGTCACATAAATAACAACTGTTGCCCTCCACTATATTATATTTAAGTAAGATTTTAATGGTAATAGTGAGAGTGAAAGTGGCTCTCCCTTAGGCACGCTGACCCGACACTGCTCTTGACCCTCATTCACAGCTGGGTCGACCGAGGGTGTCTCTTAAGGTGCATACCAGGTGAGTGCTGTGTTCTCTCGCCCACCACATATCTTTAATCTTAATAAACTGTAAAAATAACAATATGTATCAAGACTTATTGTTTATTTTGTATATATAATCTGCAATACATAAAAATATAAGATGAATTTGATGTATTACATATAAATAACACTAAGATGTACTGTAATTATGTAATACCACATGTACTGTAATACTGTAATATGCCTTCAGCTGTCCTCCACAACCCTAGTCAAATCTCTATACCAAATATAGACTTTAATGTCCTTTTTTTGTATATTATTATATTTTTCGAATAAAACTTATGTGAATTTTGTTGTTTCATTGATTTTTTTTATGTGTGTGTGTGTGTGCGTGCCATATGTATGCACGTACTGTATATGCGTCTCAGTGAAGGCATGTCCTACCCCCCCCCCCTCTCTCTCTCTCTCTTTCCCCCTCCCCCCACCCCTCCCCATCACCCCTCCCCTTTACCCTCCCAAAGCCCCGTGGACATTGATGAACCCTCCCGTCTTAGGCCCCAGAGTAGACGGACACCATCGTGGACCTGCCCCCTTCCCTCCTCCTTCTCTACCCCTGTCTCATCCCTCTCCATACAGCTCCGTCCACTCAATCAACTGAGCTCAAAGGTGGTTTCATTGACAGATGAATAGAATCAGGATTAGGGCGGTATTTGGCGGGATTTGGGCCGTTTTTTTGGGGGGGACGCATTGTGATGGTGTGTGTGTGTGTGTGTGTGTAGGCCTGGGTGAGACGTCTCTTTGAAGGACAGTTTTTAAGACGGTGAGGTGTATTGTGTTGCTGTTAACAAGATGTCTTTACCTGGCCAGCATGTTTTGGTGTGTGTGTGTGTGTGTGTGTGTCTGTGTGTGTGTGTGTGTGTGTGTGTGTGTGTGTGTGTGTCTGTGTGTGCGTGTGTGTGTGTGTGTGTGTGTAAACCTTCAGGTAACCAAGGGACTATAAACACTATGAATCAAAACACGTTGGACAGGTAAGGGACATCTTGTTAACAGCGGCACAATACACCTGTCAATTAATGAACCCAAAAGGTAAATAGTTTCGTCCTACCAACATTATTTCTATTGAAGTAATATTTCATACAATAAAGAATACAAAACAAAATAATAAAACCTAAAAAAAAATTATATAAACATCATATAACCCAAGCACCCAGTGTCACCCATCACCCAACGTCATCCACACAAGTCCACGTCATCCACAAGCACCCAGCGTCACCCACCTCCACAACACTCACCTCTCAGTCTGCAGTGAGTGGACGGAGGTGTGTTGTGGTAGCCGTGTCGTGTTGTTGTGGCCCACTCTTCACTACTTGGACGAAATTCACCAAGTTTGCCGTCTCTAAAGGAAGGTAATATGTCTTGTATGACTTTTCTTATCCACATCTTACATCGTTATCATCTTTTTTTCTATTCTTTATTTCGTTTTAGGAATTAGATATTAATGCTTGTTGCTTATTTCATCCTTATTAACTCGTATTATATCGTAGAAAAGTAGAGTTAATTTTGTCAACACCACATTGTTTACATCATAGGGACCACACGTATAAACCCCCTCTCCCTCCCACACCGCCGCACAACCAAACCAAAACATCCCCCCTTCCCCCTCCCCCCTCCTTCCCCCTCTCTCCCCCCCTCCCCTTCTCGCCACTGCCACAACAACACAACATACAATTGGAAGCTCTCGTTCTTTTTCTTTCCCCCTCATGGTAGGTATAATTTCACGCCATTACCTAGAGCATTAAATATTATCCCGAGCAGAACCCGTAGCTATTATGATTTACAGGTGTTTTGCATCAGGTGAGGGTTAGGTTAGGTTAGGTTAGGTTAGGTTAGGTTAGGTTAGGTTAGGTTAGGTTAGGTTAGGTTATTATTCCCACCTCGCCTAAAGTGATGATTAAATCCTCAGTAGGTGTAATGCTAATAGGATTTTCGACCTTCAGAATCAACCATTTCTGTCGTTTTTTACTCTATCGTAGTGGATTTATTTTAATTTATGTATTTATTTATTTATTTATTTATTTATTTATTTTAAACAGAAGATAAAGTGAATATATTAACACATTTGTTTGGGAAAATATTTTAAATGTTAGAAAATATATATATGATTTTTCTTATTAATTTATTCGTAAGAAAAAAAGTAATAACTATATTTATTTATTTATAAAAAATTGCCCCCAAAAATATTATCTTAGAGAATATATAATTTGTTAATCTGTTTATTTTAATCATTACTATTACCGAGTATAGAAACGAGAAGGGGGTAAGCTAATCTGCCCTAATCCAAGTCCAGTACAACCAATCATTACAAGCCCAGCACGAATCTTCACTACTGGTAAATAGAAAAATGAGGGAAATAATTAGCTAATCATTTATACTCCAGCTTGGCTAATCACCACAATTGCTTCTTAGGGTGGTGTGACCTTCAACCTGTTCCTCCTCCTCCCCCTCTCCCCCCTCATCCTCTTCCTCCTCCATTTCTTCACAGTCTTCCTCCTTTTCTTAGTCCCCTCTTCCTCCCCTTCCTTCTCTTCCTTATTCTTCTCTCCTCCTCCCCCAGTTCATCCTCTTCATTCTCCTTTTCTTCACCTCCTCCTCCTCTTCTTACCCCCCTATCTCCCCTCTCCTCCTCCTCCTCTCCCACCCCTCTCCTCTCCCATCCCTCCCTCATCCTCTCCCCTCTATCATAAACTGCAAGAGAACAGATAATAATACCTGAGGAGGAAGCAGGGTATTACAGCAAGCACGTGTTTACTGCTCAGAGTCCCGCTAGTGTTGGGAGTGTGGGATCCCTGGTCCATGGTTAGGTCCTTGGTTGTGTTATTGTTCACTCTCTCTCTCTCTCTTACACTTTAACTGTTCTGTTCTGTGTGGATTTTTTTTTCTTTTTCTTTTTCTATTTTCCTTCTTTCTTTAGATTCTTTCTTTCTTTCTTTTTTCTTACTCATTTTTTCTTATTCTATATTTATTCTCTCTCTCTCTCTCTCTCTTTCTCTCTCTCTCTCTCTCTACATCTCTCTCTGCCCCCCCTCATGCCCGACCGCAGTACTGAAAACAAGGGTCCTACCTCCCCCTTCCTCCCCACTTATCCCCCCTCTCCTCCTCCTCCTCTCCAGTCCAATTCGATCCACACTAGAGGGCATCGAACCAGTGTCCTCAAGATGAACACCCACCCCCAATGGTCAGTGTCCCGGGCCAGTCAATAACCTAACCTAACCTAACCTAAACAAACCGAGTACACTGCAGGTATGGTCGTATTTGCGTCAGGCAGCTTCATGGATGTTGATTCTGATTGGCTCATTTGTGGATTGTATGATTGACTAACTAACTAACTAACTAACTAACTAACTAACTAACTAACTACCTAACTAACTAACTAACCTAAACTAACCAACAACCATAAAACTCCATAATATATTAAAGAAAATCTTCAACAGGATTTAAAACACACAATAAAACACCTTATCCATTACGTCATCTCTATTATAACATATATACATATAATATAATACAAAGAAATACGCACAAACAAGAGATGAAATATACAGTATATATATATATCAATACGGGATATAAAGTTGATATATTTTATTTGGTGAAAATAACGTGACTAGTGAAAAAAGATATGAATGGTTAATAGGTTCCTCTAATAGAACCACCCCATTCATTCAATACCCATTTAATATCTTCATTCAAACTCTTCATTCATAAACTACGTAAAGAAATTGGGTGGGATTAATATTATTTTTTTGTGTATATTATTATTATTTGTTTTTTTAGATGGGATGGTGGTTATGTTGTGGGTGGGGTGTGGGTAGGGAGGGTTGTGTGGGTGGGGAGGGTTGTGTGGGTGTGGGGTGTGTGGGTGTCAGAACATGATATAGTTAAGGTGTTAGATCAAATTACTCTTGGTATACACTCGTTCTCTCCTCTCGTACAATAACAACAACATGACAGAAAGTTCAGAAGAATACAACAATTATTGAGCTCAGTTATTTGGTCCTCCTCAAGACGAACTAGGAGGACGTGTTCTGAAGTCTCCTCTCTGGTATGTCTCCATGGCATCAGAGAGGACAAGGACCACAGCAGCATAGGAGAAGGTGTGGTGGTGTGTGTCCCTATGCTGTGGCTGTGGAAGGTGTGGCTGTGGAAGGTGTGGCTCAAGAACGCAGTGTCGATGTTTCTCTCCACTATGTAAGGACCATAGCGGGAGAAGACAGGGGGTTCCCAGTACTGCAGAAGGGCTGTTGCTGGGGTCATCCTTCTACACGTAGCTCTCCTGACGGGAGGAGTAGATGAGGAAGGAGTCCAGCAGGCGAGGCTCCACCAACTCGGCGGCGTCCATCCCTCGTAGTTCCTCAGAGCCCATTGACGACGCCATCTTCCGCAGCGCCGCCTGGAGGGGCACACAACACATCATGGTTAGTTATGTTGGGTGAAGGAAGAGTTGTGTAGTCCAATGCCCACAATATCTTCATATACCTGAATTACTCCACTAATTATACATGTATGCTAATATTTACAGTAGTATTAAAACACATCTCAAAAATATGCCTAAAGTTTATAGAATCGATTCAGTTAGAAAAAAAAGAACTTCGTTGCTTGAGGTTAACCTGAGTAGTTGGAGGCAGGACTCACCAGGCAGGCGACGAGGACGGCGTCGCTGTGGTTACGTTCTTGTTCGTCTTTACACAGCCTCACCAGACGCTCCGCCCCGCCCAGCTCCACCACCTGCCGCGCCACACTCGACTCACGACACAACCTGACGGAGGAGGAACCACCAGTTATCTTACTGCTGCTACACAAGAGTTACTGGTAGACCATCACGTTGTTTTGTGTTAGGGACTTGTAAAGATTCTACAAGATGAATATTAAGCAATGTTTGATTTTCTCTAATAGTGAAGACTAATGAAGGAACACAACCTTGTCTCCGACAAACAAATAATCAACAAGACGCAGGTAAGTGACTCACCTGGAGATGGCGATGGCGGACTTCTGTTGGACCCGCTCTGCCGTGGCCACTTCTGGGAGGCGGTGGGTGGGCGCCGGGCGGGTGTTGAGCAGCGCCAGTAGGACGCCCACGCCTCCGCCCGCAACGACTTCTTCTGCTGCCTCCTGAGACCCCGCCAGGTTGGCCAACACCGTCGCGATCTGTCACAACACCAACAACAGTATGTTAAAACCTTCCTGACTGGCCTCACCACAGAGCTCTTCTCCCTGAGTTACATAATCCTTAAACATCAAAGTCGTTGTTGATGACGTGACTCGTGGTTGTCTTAGGCCACATACACACGTTAGAGCCTCACAGTTACCTGTTTCCTGGTTAAGGACCTCACCTGGTCTTTGGTGAAGATGGATATATTGGGGTTATTGTGGGCGGCCTTCAGCAGGACGCGGGCGGTGTCAGCTGCCCTCATAGCTCCCACACATCCACCGTCCAGGAAGGTCAAGTTTGCCAGCGCCGCCGATGCTAACAGGAAGATCTCGGCGGAACGTGTCTCCTTCGCCAGATCTACACATAAAAGCAGGAGTTACACGAGGCTCGAAATGTCACGTATAGAAACTTAAGTCAGTAAAGAGTAACAGACAAACAAGAAAAATAATACAGCTATTTTACTGAATTCATTAAAATTGTGTTAAGATCGGGTACAGGTGAGTTACTTCAGGTACAGGTGAGTGGGCGTTGTGTTACCTGTGAGGGCGGCCACGATGGGGCGCATGTGGGCGTGGAGAGCCGCCAGACGGTGGGTGTTCTCCACCCAGGGGGAGGTGATCTGCGCCAGCACCCCGGCCGCCTCACTCCGCTCCTCCTCCAGGCAGTCCTCGTCACACAACACTTCCGCCACGACCTCCACACCTCCAGCCTGGTGAGACATGATGGTTATGTTACTACCTCACACCTCCACACCTCCAGCCTGGTGAGACATGATGGTTATGTTACTACCTCACACCTCCACACCTCCAGCCTGGTGAGACATGATGGTTATGTTACTACCTCACACCTCCACACCTCCAGCCTGGTGAGACATGATGGTTATGTTACTACCTCACACCTCCACACCCAGCCTGGTGAGACATGATGGTTATGTTACTACCTCACACCTCCACACCTCCAGCCTGGTGAGACATGATGGTTATGTTACTACCTCACACCTCCACACCTCCTCTACCACCTTCACCACCGCCAGAGGCAGTCAGGGAATGCGAAGAGGAAGGAGGAGGTAAGGAAAGGGTGGGGCTAACAGAGGGAGGCAGGGGAGGGAACTGGTCTAACCTGAAATGGTCACACTGCCAAGGCTGTCAAGAGGTAGGGAGGGGTTATACCAGTGTGATGGGAACTAAAAGATATGGGAAGTCGAGATGGAGTTGTTCCTTTAGATGTGTGTGCGCGCGTGTGTGTGTGTGTGTGTGTGTGTGTGTGTTTGTATGTATGTGTGTGTGTGTGGGTAGATTTGATTATGCAATGGTGGAGCTTTTGTATAGAGTGAGGTGTGAAGTGGTTGTAGGGGGTGTGGTTGTGTGTGGTGGTGTGGTAAGGGAGATGGTGGGGACTTGGTGGTAGTGTGTAGTGTTTGGGGTTGTTTATGTGTGGTTGTGTGGTGGTAAGAGGGATGGTAGTGTGGTGGTGGTAGGGGTGGTAGGGGAGATGGTTGAATGGCGTCGACAACAGACTAGAACAATGGTGTTATAATGCATCTATATCACGTAACTCCACTTCATCTCCTCCTTCTCATTAACTAAGACGCAGGAAGTAACCAGGTATGGGAAGTGTCACTCACCTTCTCCAGCTCCACGATGCCGTCCACGACACAGCAGACGGTGGCCAGAGCTCTGAGGGCCGCCACACGCACATGACTTAGTCGAGGCTCCAGGCACACCCCCAGCAGGCCCCTCACGCCCCCAAGACGCGCTATGAGGCGACAGATATGCCCGCCGTCCACACCCAACGCCGTGAGATGTGACACGGCAGCGCTAACCTCCTCCTCCTTCGACTCCTCCAGCACCCGCACCACCACCTGCAGGAGGACGCCACCACATGGGTCATCAAAGGTCATGAAAATCAATGTGGAAAAAAAACATCTACTTCATCAGAGGTCAATTGTAACAAGTTAATAAGGGTTTAACTACCAAACACAGCGTGATGGCGGTCTCACGTACACTAGTTCATCGTGTCGCGCATTCTCAGATCAGATGCTGGTTGTGAGGTGATCAGAGGTCGCTAGTGATTATTGGCTATGTCAGGTATTACCAATAATGGGAAAGGTCAGACCAGGAAGAGAAGTACTACATAGCGGGGTTCTGTATCATCTTATAATTCTACATAATTTCCTTCTTGTGGTGTTACAAATGGTGGGAGAAATAGATGTTTGGCTGAAGTGTTTTGGGGGAGTGTACAGAACCCTGGCATGTAGAGGGGGAGCAGTGCCACCCGGCCCTAGACACTCACCATGATCACTGAGTGCCACCTGGCCCGCGACACTCACCATGATCACTGAGTGCCAACAGTGCCACCTGGCCCGCGACACTCACCATGATCAGTGAGTGCCAACAGTGCCACCTGGCCCGAGACACTCACCATGATCACTGAGTGCCAACAGTGCCACCTGGCCCGCGACACTCACCATGATCAGTGAGTGCCAACAGTGCCACCTGGCCCTCGACACTCACCATGATCAGTGAGTGCCAACAGTGCCACCTGGCCCGCGACACTCACCATGATCAGTGAGTGCCAGCAGTGCCACCTGGCCCGCGACACTCACCATGATCAGTGAGTGCCAGCAGTGCCACCTGGCCCTCGACACTCACCATGATCAGTGAGTGCCAACAGTGCCACCTGGCCCGCGACACTCACCATGATCAGTGAGTGCCAACAGTGCCACCTGGCCCTAGACAGTCACCATGATCAGTGAGTGCCAACAGTGCCACCTGGCCCTCGACACTCACCATGATCAGTGAGTGCCAACAGTGCCACCTGGCCCGCGACACTCACCATGATCAGTAGTGCCAGCAGTCGCCACCCCTGGCCCGTGACACTCACCATGATCGGTGAGTGCCAGCAGTGCCAACAGTGCCACCGGAGTACCTCGACAGTCACCATGATCCAGTGAGGTGCCAGCAGTGCCAACAGGTGCCAGCGAGGGTGCCAGCAGTGCCACAGCCCCTTGACAGTCACCATGATCAGTGAGTGCCAGCAGTGCCAACAGTGCCAACAGTGCCAACAGTGCCACCTGGCCCTCGACATACAATGATCCAGTGAGTGCCAGCAGTGCCACCTGGCCCTCGACACTCACACCATGATCGTGAGAGTGCCAACAGTGCCACTGGCCCGCGACACTTACAATGATCAGTGAGTGCCAACAGTGCCAACAGTGCCAACAGTGCCACCTGGCCCTCGACAGTCACCATGATCAGTGAGTGCCAACAGTGCCACCTGGCCCGCGACACTTACAATGATCCGGTGAGTGCCAACAGTGCCAACAGTGCCACCTGGCCGCGACGCCCCACAATGATCAGTGAGTGCCAACGGTGCCAACAGTGCCAACAGTGCCAACAATGCCACCTGGCCCTCGACAGTCACCATGATCAGTGAGAGGTGCCAGCAGTGCCACCTTGCCCGCGACTTGCCCACAATGATCAGTGAGGTGCCAACAGTGCCAACAGTGCCACCCGGCCTCGACACTCACCGCGGTCGGTGAGTGCCAACAGTGCCACCTGGCCCGCGACGCCCACAATGATCAGTGAGTGCCCTTGCCACCTGGCCCTCGACACTCACCATGATCAGTGAGTGCCAACAGTGCCACCCTGGCCCGCGACACTTACAATGATCAGTGGTACCAGCAGTGCCAACAGTGCCACCTGGCCTCGGCACTCACCATGATCAGTGAGAGTGCCAACAGTGCCACCTGGCCTAGACACTCACCATGATCAGTGAGGTGCCAACAGTGCCACCTGGCCCGTGACACTCACCATGATCAGTGAGTGCCAACAGTGCCACCTGGCCCGCGACACTCCACCATGATCCAGTGAGTGCCAACTTAAGTGCCAACAGTGCCACCTGGCCACTCCGGCACTCACCATGATCAGTGAGTGCCAGCAGTGCCACCTGGCCCGTGACACTCACCATGATCAGTGAGTGCCAGCAATTCTCCTGGCCTCGACACTCTGATCAGTGAGGTGCCAGCAGTGCCAACAGTGCCTGGCCCTCGACACTCACCATGATCAGTGAGGTGCCAGCAGTGCCACCTGGCCCTCGACACTCACCATGATCAGTGTGAGTGCCAGCAGTGCCACCTGGCCGCGACAGTCACCATGATCAGTGAGTGCCAACAGTGCCAACAGTGCCACCTGGCCCTCGACACTCACCATGATCAGTGAGTGCCAACAGTGCCACCAGGCCCTCGACGATCACCATGATCAGTGAGTGCCAGCAGTGCCACCTGGCCTCGACACTTACAATGATCAGTGAGTACCAACAGTGCCACCAGGCCCTCGTGACACTCACCATGATCAGTGAGTACCAGCAGGTGCCACCCAGGCCTCGACGGTCACTGATCAGTGAGTGCCAGCAGCCTGCAGTGCCACAGCCCTCGGCAGTCACCATGATCAGTGAGTGCCAACGAAAGTGCCAGCAGTGCCACCTGGCCCTCGACACTCACCATGATCAGTGAGGTACCCAGCAGTGCCACCTGGCCCTCGACAGTCACCATGATCCGGTGAGGTGCCAGCAGTGCCCACCAGGCCCTCGACAGTCACCATGATCAGTGAGAGTGCCAACAGTGCCACCTGGCCCTCGACAGTCACCATGATCAGTGAGGTGCCAACGTGCCACCAGGCCCTCGGCCAGTCCACCATGATCAGTGGGGGGTACCCAGCAGGTGCCAAGTGCCTGGCCCTCGACAGTCACCGCGATCAGTGAGTGCCAGCAGTGCCACCAGGCCCTCGACAGTCACCATGATCAGTGAGTGCCAGCAGTGCCAACAGGTGCCTGGCCCTCGACACTCACCATGATCGGTAGTGCAGCAGTGCCACCAGGCCCTCGACAGTCACCATGATCAGTGAGTGCCAACAGTGCACCACCTGGCCCTCGACAGTCACCATGATCCAGTGAGGTGCCAACGGTGCCTGGGCCTCGACAGTCACCATGATCAGTGAGTGCCAGCAGTGCCAACAGTGCCACCTGGCCCTCGACAGTCACCATGATCAGTGAGTGCCAACAGTGCCACCAGGCCCTCGACGAGTCACCATGATCAGTGAGTGCCAACAGTGCCAACAGTGCCACCTGGCCCTCGACACTCACCATGATCAGTGGTGCCAGCAGTGCCACCAGGCCCTCGACAGTCACCGCATGATCGGTGAGTGCCAACAGTGCCAACGAATTGCCACCTGGCCCTCGACGCACTCATGATCAGTGAGTGCCAACAGTGCCACCTGGCCCTGGAGCAGTCACCATGATCAGTGAGTGCCAGCAGTTGCCAACAGTGCCACTGGCCCTCGACAGTCTGCCATGATCCAGTGAGTGCCAACGCAGTGCCACCTGGCCTCGACAGTCACCATGATCAGTGAGTGCCAGCAATTACCTGGCCCTCGACACTCACCATGATCAGTGAGGTGCCAGCAGTGCCACCTGGCCTCGACACTCCACCATGATCAGTGATTGAGTACCAACAGTGCCACCTGGCCTCGACACTCACAATGATCAGTGAGAGTGCCAGCAGTGCCACCTAGCCCTCGACACTCACCATGATCAGTGAGTGCCAACAGTGCCACCTGGCCCTGCGACACTCACCGCCGATCAGTGGTGCCAGCGAACCGCAGGCCCGACACCCACAATGATCAGTGAGTGCCCCAACAGGTGCCACCTGGCCCGCGGCACTTACAGTATTGATCAGTGAGTGCCAGCAGTGCCACCTGGCCCTCGACACTCACCGCGTCAGTGGTACCAGCAGTGCCACCTGGCCCTAGACACTCACCATGATCACTGAGTGCCAACGGTACCACCTGGCCCTCGACACTCACCATGATCCGAGTAGAGTGCCAGCAGTGCCACCTGGCCCTCGACACTCACCATGATCAGTGAGGTGCCAGCAGTGCCACCTGGCCCTCGACACTCACCGCGGTCACTGAGTGCCAGCAGTGCCACCCTGGCCCTCGACACTCACCATGATCACTGAGTGCCAACAGTGCCACCTGGCCCGTGACACTCACCATGATCAGTGAGTGCCAGCAGTGCCACCTGGCCCTCGACACTTACAATGATCAGTAGTGCCAGCAGTGCCACCTGGCCCCTCGACACTTTCACCATGATCAGTGAGTGCCAGCAGTGCCACCTGGCCTCGACACTCACCATGATCAGTGAGTGCCAACAGTGCACCACCTGGCCCTCAGCACTCACCATGATCACTGAGTGCCAACGAGGTGCCACCTGGCCCTGGAGCACTCACAGTGATCCAGTGAGTGCCAACGAGATACCACCTGGCCCTCGACACTCACCATGATCAGTGAGTGCCAGCAGTGCCACCTGGCCCTCGGCACTCACACCATGATCAGTGAGTGCCAGCAGTGCCACCTGGCCCTCGACACTCACCATGATCACTGAGTGCCAGCAGTGCCACCCAGCCTCGACACTCACCATGATCAGTGAGTGCCAACAGTGCCACCTGGCCCGCGACACTCACCATGATCACTGAGTGCCAACAGTGCCACCTGGCCGTGACACTCACCATGATCAGTGAGTACCAACAGTGCCACCTGGCCCTCGACACTCACCACCATGATCAGTGAGTGCCAACAGTGCCAACAGTGCCAACGGTGCCAACAGTGCCACCTGGCCCTCGACACTCACCATGATCGGTGAGTGCCAACAGTGCCACCTGGCCCGTGACACTCACCGCCAGTCAGTGAGTGCCAGCAGTGCCACCTGGCCCTCGACACTCTACACCATGATCGAGTGAGTACCAGCAGTGCCACCTGGCCCGTGACACTCACCATGATCAGTGAGGTGCCAGCAGTACCACCTGGCCTCGACACTCACCATGATCCCGGTGGTACCAGCAGTGCCACCTGGCCCTCGACACTCACCATGATCAGTGAGTGCCAGCAGTGCCACCTGGCCCTCGACACTCCTGCCATGATCAGTGAGTGCCAGCAGTACCACCTGGCCCTCGGCACTCACCATAGTCAGTGAGGTGCCAGCAGTGCCACCTGGCCCTCGACACTCACCATGATCAGTGAGTACCAACAGTGCCACCCTGGCCCTCGACACTCACCGCCCGATCCAGTGAGTACCAACAGTGCCACCTGGCCCTCGACGCCACCATGATCAGTGAGTGCCAACAGTGCACCACCTGGCCCCTCGACACTCACCGCCGATCCCGGTGAGGTGCCAACGGGTGCCACCTGGCCTCGGCACTCACC